GAAAAAAAAAAAAAAAAGGGGGGGGGGGTTAAAGGCGATGCTAAAAGCTATGAAAGTCAAGAAAAGAAACTACAACTTTCATTCAGACCACCTCGGGCCGCTGCTGTTATGGTCTAATTAAAGAGGAGGACCCAATCAAACTCGGCCACTAACGATGCTACGAGGGTCTTTCTTGTTTAAAAATCAGAAGCGGCCTTATTTATTTATTTAATTATTCATTTGCCGCCCATCTCCCCCAGAGGGTGACTCTGGGTGGCTTACAATTAAAATCCGAAACCATAAAAACAGTAAAACTATAAATATCCATATTAAAATAACTAGTAACAATTCTATATAAAAAAATCATCCCACCAGCCAATTCCAACAATCCAAGCTCCCAACAGATCCCCAGGCCATCTGGTATAGCCATGTTTTACACTTTTTCAGAAGGCCAGGAGAGTAGGGGCGCACCACACCTCAGGTGGTAAGCTGTTCCACAGGGCAGGGGCCACAGCAGAAAAGACCCTCTTCCTAGACTCCGCCAACTGGAATTCCTTGACTGGCAGGGTCCGCAACATGCCCGTTCTGCCAGATCAAGTGGGGCGGGCAGATATAACGGGGGTGAGACAGCTCCTCAGATAACCTGGTCCTGTGCCATGAAGGGCTTTAAAGGTAATACCCAACACCTTGAATTGGACCCAGAAGCAAGCCGGCAACCAATGCAGCTCGCATAACAGAGGTGTTTTATGTGCCACCCTAGGGGCGTTCAAAACTGTCTGCGCCCCTGCATTTTGCACCAGCTGCAGCTTCCAAATACTCTTCAAGGGTAGCCCCATGTAGAGTGCATTACAGTCATCCAAACAGAAGGTGACCAGGGCAGGAAGGACCACACGGTCCCTTTTTTTTTTCCTAGCCTTAACTAGAAAAGGAAGAAGATGCCAACCTTGGTTTACCAATGTGCCTTCAGACAGGCCCCTTGGTGTTCACTAGGCTCCTTAGACAGACAGATGGTTGGCCTGCTGCGTCAGCCTGTAGCATTACACTGAGTTGCATCAATGCCTTTGGGCCCCCCTGGGATTTAAGAGCACATCCTGAGGTTGTCTTCTAGTAAAGGGGTGTTTTGTGATAGGCCATGCCTCCTACAGCAACCCTTTCATAAAGGGACAAGTCTGCCACTCCACAGGCACACCTGGCCCAGAAAGGTGGTCTTGTTTTATACATTGTCCTTTTCTTATCTGCCACCAAGCAGGGTTTCCCTATATTACAGAAGCGGATGCCTCCTTATTAGAGACAAAGGTAAAATAAACTGGCCTGCTGCAAAGAACAGGGAGTTTATCAAACCGTATTTAATGCCCCCCAAAATCTCTCCCTTTCCCTTGAGTGGAGAAAGCAAAAACAAAATAATATGAAGGGATATAATCTACAGATCAGTAGGAAAAGCTTGGAAAGGAAGGTGGTTTTGCAAATGTGCTGCAAAGGTTAAATGGCTGGTGATACTAAGACCTTGACAACATCTCCACCATAATAGTACTCTGGATCAGCTTTGCAGCTATATGAAACTATACAATAATAATAAGGATGATTGTGTACCACGATGAAATTAAGCTTAAGTTGCAATAACAAAAAAAATCCCATCCAAAATATAATTAAGCACAACTAACCCAGATTTGACTCAGCAGAATGCCATGAATTTGGATTGCACTCGGTCCCCTTGAAATGCTACGTCTGTTTTGAACCTTAACTTGACAACGAATACCGAAAGTACCTAGAAAATCAGCTATACTAATTAAGGCATATTCTAAGTGCCCTGGAGAAAAGTGTGTGCAAGTGTGTGTGCCCATGCGCACAACAGTGAAGTATGCAAGAGAGTAAACAAAGGAAATACGGTCCAAAGGAAACCAGGCTGCTGAACGGATGAATCAAAACTATGCCAATATTCCTGTCTTCATACACACAAAGCATGATTGAAAGAGAACCCTACCTGCAATGTAAAGGATTGTCGAAATGCCAACATCAAGACAGGGTTATTTTTCTTTCTGCCCACATCATTGCAAGAGGATAAGAATGCAGCCATGTCCCATGGAGACCATTAAGACTGAGATGAAGTATGGAGCCAAAACAACAACTTACAGACAGTAAAGGGATGGCAACTTTTCCAAGAAAGTCAGGCGGCTTATCTCCATCTTCATCAAACACCATGACTTCCAGAACATCGTGGATGTCTTTAACGGGGCTGGAAAAGAGATTTGCAGAGTTAGGAATTCATATTCATTCCGTCTGCCACAAAAAGAGCTAAGGATGCGCGTTCAGTCATTAAGTTCCAATCACTTTGGTGGGTTAAACTTGCATATCCAGGAATTACATTCCCCCTTCCCTCAGACCCAATCAAATCGGCTTCATTTTTGCAAGGATTCGAAATCACAGGAACGGGAGCAACCTTGGGGATCCTCTAGCAGCTCATCTCCCTGCTCACTGTTAAATCTGCCACAGAAAATTTCACTCAAGCAAGCCTTCCAAACTTGTTGCCCTTCAGATATGTTAGGACTGTAGCTCCCCTAATCCCATTGCTGGGTGGGAACTTTGGAAGTCGTAGTCCCAACACATGTGGAAGACAAGTTATGGAAAGCTACATTACAATAGGCCCTGCAGTTCACTTCCCTTGAGATGGTCTGTGACACTCCCGTGTTCCTAGTGTTAGGAAGTTTCTCCTAACATTCACTTCAAATCCATTCACTTGCATTTTCTACCCACTGGTTCCAGCCTTGCCCTTTGGAGCAAGAGAGTGTTAGTCCATCTTCTGTGTGACATTTTTTTTTTTTTGAATCAGTGTTGACTCCTGCTGACTGCCTAGACTAGTCCCTGAAGTTTTCTTGGCAAGATTTTGGAAGTGGTTTGCCATGGACTCCTTCCTAGGGCTGAGAGAGAGGGACTGGCCCAAGGTCACACAGCTGGCTTTGTGCCTAGGTGGGACTAGAACTCAACAGTCTCCTGGTTTCTAAT